TCAATTCAATCTTTTGAAAATTAATTTCACATGTTATTCCCCTATAATTTTATATGTAGAATCCATTTCTAAGATCAAATTTGACAAAATCCAACTCTTTCCCTATAAACAAGTCTTGGTTGAAACATATAGGGTTTAAGGTAGGGGTGTTCATGGAACAGGACAGGACAGGACAAGACGGAGATAGACTCATCCCAGTAAACAGGGATAGGACAAGATTTTTGTCCCGTGTAAAATCCCATTTCCCTTTTTTTAAAATAAATACTACAATTTTTTGTATGAATATTTTTATGTTACAATACTTATTTTTCATTAGGCTTCTAAAGATAAAAACATTATAAAAAAATGTTATGTAGAAAGCTCAATTATATAGTATAAAAAAGGTGTAAAAATAATATCATAAAAAAAATACCATAAAAGAAACACTATATAATGGCTTTATGAATTATTTTATTGAGGAAGGAGATTTTGTTGAGATAATACTGCAACTTAAGAGCTAAAAATCACTATAAAAATAATAATTATTATGAATAAGTATAATGAATAATATAATAATAGTTATTAATAAATAATTTTAAAAAAAAAACCCCAGGACGGGACAAGATGGGATAACCCCATCCCGTGTCCCATCTCGTTCCAGTTACTGTCCTATCCCGTCCCGTACTTATCTTATCTTAAAATTTCTTTTGTCCCGTCCTGAACTCATTAAGACTAAGACGAAACAAATTGAACACCCCTAGTTTTAAGGCAAAAATTTTTTTTTTAATTTTTCATTCTAAACATATTAGAAACATCAATTTACTGACAAAAATTTTTGTGACAAACAATCTAGTGACAAAAATTTTTCATCATTAATTTTGTTGTTAAAAATTTTGTAATTAAAATTAGTGACAGAAATTTTTAATGAAAAAAAATTCCGTATTAGATATTTACTGACAGATTTTTTGACAGATGAGTGACATAATTTCTTTTAGTAATTTATCAAAAATTGGCAATAAAATAATTTTTTATGGCTAATTTTGTTGGTAATAAGCTTTTTGTTTTTGTGGTGATATGAGGCTAAGGGCCTCTTTACAACCACGATATAATGGCCTCTTGGCTATATATGTATCAATTTTTTCATAACATATGAGACCAATGTTTATTTATTTATTTCTATTTTGACAATTTTAAACCCCTTCCCTTATAGGGAAGGATCCACACACCAGCACTTCACACGCGTACTAAATTCGGTCCATGTAGGGGGAAAAATGCACGCCAAACAATATTTCATATTAATAAGTATTTCTTTATGTTGTAAGATTTTTTTTTTCCTGAAGTTATGCATTCAGCTTTCTTATCATAGTAAAATATATTTCAATATAATTTGTGAGTTTGCACAATTTATTCTGACCAATAAATGATAAAAATGTATTTTTAAAATAAATTTTAGTAAATGAGGGAGAATTATTTTTTAAAAAATTAATATAGAACTTGTCTAATTTCTTTTTCCAACTCCATATCAAATGTCCCATCTTAATGTTGCTCTCCATTGATGAGCCAACCGTGCAACACATGGGGTATGGCGTTTAGTTTTCACCTAAAGAAGGATTAGTCTTTGACTATTAAGTGGGAGAATAAAATTAAAGAAAAATATAGCTTTAAATTTTTGAAATCCCTCAATTATCGATTTAGCTGTTGCTAAAAACATATATTATGGTTTCTTTACTTAGAAACAATTTAGGCAAGGACTGAGTTGTATCGACCCAAGAAACTATAATAATTGAATTGTTTTGAGTTATAGCTTAAGACCTCAGTTTATAATTAAAGGGGGGGAAAACACGGATCAAAAGTTATAATTTTCTCAACCTTTAATATAGGTCCACCTATTTTGCCTAAAAAAAAAAGTCTATGGGGGCCACCTATGGTTCCAATTTGTAGTCATTGTGTTTGTTGTAATTATAGCTAAGAAGGGGTAATGAAAAGGTAAGGTAAGGATGAAGTGTGGGGATAGATGATCAGGATAAACAAATGGTAAGGTGGAGTTGGAGTTTAAAGGAACCTAGCAACTAGTGTAGGGGATAATCTAGCAATTAGTATTAACTTTGATTTCTTCATGATTAGTGTTTTTTATGGAATTGAAAGAGTAATGCTTCTCTAGTCCTTAATGTAAGATATATTTAATTAATTTGAATTGATTAAAGTATGACATGTGTTTTTTAGTAAAATATCATAATTATCTTTCTTAATATCCCTCCCTTTCCTACTTGATTATCGTTGAGGGAGTATCAATAGAAATAATTTAGAAAAAAATATTAAATATGACAAATAAGTCTTACATTTAGGATTAAAACTAACTCAACAATTATATGCTGCATTAAGGACCGAAGAAGTATTAACTTTCAGCGCATTTTAGTGCCTTCTCTTATTCCCTTTTGTCGTCATGCACATATATTAAAGAACCTTCTGTTATTTCACTCCAAAAAAAAAACTTATGTTATTTATTGGAATTTTTTAGAATATTGAATAGTTGGAAAATATCAACTGAATAATATACATGTAGTCAAACTTTAAATTGAATTAGGAATTTCTAGACTTATTGTTGAATTTATATAATATATTGCATGAGCTTTTAAGTATTCCAATGGGGTTTAGGGGGCAAACAGCACATATATTAAGAAGAAGTTTACTTTTTAAGAAAATTAATAACAATTGGTCTGCAAAATACTACTTCTGATTCAAAATATAAATTAAATTATACAATTCAAAAAGTTAGTTAAACTTAATTAAAAACAATAAATATATAAAAAAATGTCACTTATTTTCTAAGATAATATTTTTATGGAAAATTAGTCTTTTAGTCTTTCAACTATTAACTCATTTGTAACTCAGTCCCTCAATTATAACTCACTATGACTCAGTTCTTGGATTTTTGACTCGCCTATGACTCACTCTTTAAACTTTTCATATTTAATAATTTAATCCTTATTATACATAATTTATTTTTAAACATAAAATAATTATCCTACATGGCAAAAAAATTACTTTTAACACTATTAAAAGTTGCAAACATGTCATCCAAGTCAGCTTATACGCATTTGATGAATTTTTTAAGGAAACAAGAGACCGTCCGGCGGACTCAACTCATCGTCCTCTCCTTTCTCCTCACCTTTTGAGAACCATGTCCACTTCTTCACTGGCATTCTCTAATCTCTTCCTCCTCCACGCCTTTCCAGAGACAAACACGCTCTATCTTCTTCCTTATCCCTCCACACATTTCTCCTCCCAATGATTCTCACTCAGCCTGCAGCGCTCTCGAGTTTGAGCGACCCGTTGATTCTGGTGCATAACCTGGTGGGGGTGTGGCCAATTAAAATTTGTACATTTGCCACTTTGATTCTAAATGCCATAAAAGAACAAAACAGTTGCATCATCCTTCAACCTCCTCATATACATAGCGGGAGGACAAATGTGTGGAGGGGGTTATGAGGAAGAAATGAAACGAGGAAGAAGACAAAGCATGTGCGTCTCTATTAGGAGAAAGGAGAGGACGATGTCCACCAGATGGCTTTTTTATTTTTTGGGTAACAGAGCAGATGGTTTTTTAATGGTGAAGTAATTTTTTCTGCCACGTAGGATAATTATTTTATGTTTAAAAATAAATTATGTATGATAAGGATTAAATTATTAAATATGAAAAGTTCAGAGACCGAGTCATAGTCAAGTCAAAAGTTCCGGAATTGAGTTATACCGAGTTATAGTTAAGGGACTAAGTTATAAATGAGTTAACAGTTGAAGGACTAAAAGATTGATTTTTCCTATTTTTATTTATGGAGAGGGTATAAATAAAAAAGAGAATAAGTGGAAAAAGATAATGAAAATAATAAGTGGAAAAAAAGAGATGAGAGAGACATAAAATAAATTAGAGGTAAAATGAAAAAAATGCGTTAAATAATTACACAAATCTAAATTTTAGCTTATAAAAAAAGCCAAGACCTTTTAAAGATTTGATGCTTATATTTTTAACCATAAGGATAATGATTGTTAGTCCATCTGTATATCTATTCAAAAAAAATAAAATCAATGCGTATGCAAATATTTATTACATTTCAAAATTTTTCTTAAAGCTTATTAAATGATGCGATATACTTCTCTAATTTTATTTATACGGCAGAGAGAGAATATATTTTCTGGTCTTATTTATAAGGTATTGAGAAAAAATTTTATATGGATGTACAATTTTACCTTTCATTTATTATTATGTTGACTTTGTTTATATGAGATATAATATATATTAAATAGGGATAATATTAAAAAGTTATTAATTTGTAAATAAGAGTTAATAAAGTTTAAATTTTTTTTGTCTGTGTAAAATATGTTGAAAATAACTTATAAATAAAACTAGAGGAGTACTTGACAAATGAAGTTCTTGGAGTTAATAATGGTATACAACAACAAGTTTTATTTCACTATGTGAGGTACACACAGCTAATAAAGACATAATTTGACAAATATAACTGAATGCTGTTTTGAATTTCTAAAACTGACAATATACGTGTCATTTTCATGGTCTTGGCTACACTAGGAAGATCCATTACACTTTTTTTTTTAAAGCCTTGGAAGGTTCATTTCATCTTTTAATAGTATTTTAAATATAAATATATATATATATATATTGAATCATTAATGACATACACTGAATCATTTTATTGGGCACCATCTGTCAACATCTCTTAAAAAATTTACAAAAGCATGTATCTATCTTATCTAGGGAAATCTCATAGTAACCACACATATAGTAACCAAAACCCTTTAATTAATTGAAGCCGAAAGGCACATCATATTTAAGTTCCAATATATTGAATCATTAATGATGTACATTGAATCATTTCATTGGCACCATCTGTCAAAATCTCTTAAAAGTTTTACAGAAGTATTCAACTATAAATAAGAAAGATATCTCATGTCTCAACCAACCACAAGTACACCTTGACCATTATTCTTCCTTATAAGCTAAAGAAATGGAGAACGTGAGTGGAAGCGTGATCTTGAGCATCCCAATTATCGATATGCAAAAGTTTCCAGATGAAGAGGAGTACAAGAAGCTAAGAGAGGCATGTGATGAATGGGGATGTTTCAGAGTGATGAACCATAGCTTACCCAAGAACTTAATGGAGGAGATGAAGAAGGTGGTAACGTGTCTGTATGAACGTCCAAGAGAGATCAAAAAGCGCAACGTTGATACTGTTATTGGAAGTGGCTATACCTATTTTCCTTTACATCCAGTCTTTGAAAATATGGGTTTCCATGACTTTGGATCCTCTCTTGACATCGATAACTTTTGCTCTCAACTGGATGCCTCCCCTCATGATAAGTTAGTATATACTAGTATATAGATATAGATATTGCTGCATATAAAGTTGATAAATAATCTTCATTTTGAATTTTATGACGGTGGAATGCATGCATGCAGGAAGATAATCAGCGCATATGGGGAAGCAGTTCAGGAACTAGCGGTAGATATAGCCAGAAAGATAAAGGAGTGTGTTGTGGGGTTATCAGAAGCCATGGATTTTCAAGACTGGCGATGCAATTGCAAGATGAACAAATACAGTTTTACCCCTGAGACTGTAGGGCACGTAGGTATCCATGAGCACACTGATCCGGGGTTTCTCTCAGTTGTTCAAGATGATGACCTTGTGGATGGTCTTGAAGTCTTGCACCCTCCCTCTGGTTCCTTTGTTCCAGTCCCTCCCTTATCTGGAACCTTTGTTATTAATCTTGGGGATGCTGCTCATGTAAATTTAACTCCCTCTTCATTTAACATCCATATATTTCCTCTTTTCATGCCTTGATCTCCGTTCTCTTTCTCTCTCTTTAAATGCATGACACCTCATGTTTGTGACATATAAGTTTTTATCAAAGTGCTTCTCTTTGGATTACGAAAGGCAAATAAGTACTTAAGATAAGGATCATATTGAACCCGTGACCTTTCGCCATTAAGGATGGATTACATGCCACTAGGCCACAAGACAATTATCTTATTGACATTCTTCGGTATGTTGTAGATTTGATTAGAAAATGATTCTCTTTTTAATGAATGATGTAGGTGTGGAGCAACGGAAGGTTTCCAGATGTGATTCATCGTGTGCAATGCAAGGAAGGAAGGACTAGAATTTCAATAGTGACAAGTTTGCAAGCACCAAGGCATGGAGATGTTGAAGTTGCAAAAGAGTTTGTGGACAGTGACCACCCACCTCTCTTCATGCCTTTCAATTTCGAACGTTACATAGAGTCTCGATGGACCAAAAACATCAGAAATGGTGAAGCCCTTGACTTGTTGCGTGTGGATCGCCCCTCAAATACTGTTTCAGCATGATGTGTTTAAGGCCAAATGAGATGGAGAAAGATAAATAAATACTCCCTCCTGGGCCTATTTATTAGAAATAAGTAATAGTTAAGCTTTAACTACAACTTTTTTTAGCAAACAGGCGTGGAGGTAGTAATAAATTTCAACAAAATAAGTTTCTTTTTAGTGTTTCTAGTGTCGCTTAAAGTACTCTATGATGGAGGAGTGAAGTTGGCTCTGCCTTTTTTCAACTCGGTGCTAAATAGGATGAGACCCACTTCTTTCTTCTTATCTCTTTTTATATTCTAAAATAAGAGTTCATCAATAAAATGTAGTCTTGCTTTGCAATTGTTATGTTTTATTTTTATCCATCTTCTTTTTTTAACTAGCTACAATCCTTACTGTTTCTTCCCCCTAAGGAACCGCAATTTGTAATGTTAAAAAAACTTGATAAAATAACTAGTAGACTTCCGGCCATAAAATAATGAACTACAAATTGAATGGAAAGAAAGGAGTGTGCTTTATAATTGCTTCTTTCAAGATAAAGATGGGACTTTCTTCTTTCCACATACGTATGTACACACATGCATATATACATATATATTTAAGTTTCCAAAATAAATGTTGTATGATTACCAGAAAACCTGATCATCAATTAATAATGAAAAATTGCTTTATCATTGATATAATTTATTTTATTTTATATTTTGTATGAGAAAAATGAAGTGGAGGGGAGAGAAAATTTTAAACTATCCGATTTACGTTTTTTTAATTGAAATTGGAAAGGAGGCCGCGTTTAAAATTTTGAATAAGTGTAATTAAAAATTTTTTATTAAAATTTTATAATCTCATTTCTCTAATTTTTTTTAAGTGAAAGTTATTAAAATTTTTCCCACTCTGTATATCTCTCATGCTAAACATAGGGTTAGTTCGATTTGTTGTCGGTTCCGGGTGTTATCTTTGATATAGCTTCTTGGTATGTGACGTTGCAAGGCTGAAGTTTGATTCCTCTTAAGTTTCTGAGGTTCTCTTCCAGTTGTTGTCTCTATATCCTTTGGGATTTTCAGGGCTACAGTGGTATTCAAGGTGGCTTGCATCTGTGCGGTCAGCTTTTGACATTTTGTTTCTATTTTCTTTTGTGGTTCTTAGACTTTCCTGAATTGCCTATAAATAGTTGTATTAGAAGTGAGATAGAGCTGCTTGTTTCTATATACTCCCTCCATCTTTATCATAAGTTTCAAAGGGTCACGAATGATAAGTTAAAGTTAGTTAAAAGTAATAAATTGATTAAAAACATATTTTTGTTTTTAAATATGCTCTTATAATAAATGAGAAAAAAGATAAAAAAAATATTAAAAAAAATACGATAAAAGAGACTATAGCAAGGAGATAGAATAAGTAATTAAGAGAAAAATTAGAAAAAATGCATTAAATGTTAAGATAAATACCAAATTAAAGTTTATAAAATGGACCACACTCTTTAGGGTAAAGCTTATAAATATGATCGGATGGAGTATATAGACACTACAAAAAAAAGTAGTATTTTGTAGCGGTTATTTTTGTGCATTTGCAGTAATTTTAACCGCTACTAATGCATTTGGAGCAGTTTTTTGAACTACTACTAAAATGGGTGTGGAAAAAAAATACTTTGTAACGGTTATAAAAAACTGCTGCAAATATGGTCAAACCTGCTACAAATATGGTTAAATTATCCACATAGCCATATAATAATCTTTTTGAATTTGACTATGTGTTAATTATAATTCCATTAAATATTTAACTTACAATATGATTTGGCTTAAACTTATGGCATACTTAATGTGTGCTTTTTATATTTACATGTTTGGCTGGTGAGATCCCCTAACCATGGTTTTGTATCCTAAATCATGATTTTGGTTTCTACCCAGATAACAACTTTTAGGAAGTGATTAATGAACCGCATTAAACTAGACATTCTCAAATATCATACTATTAATTGGACTCGTTAGTGGCTCTATTGTGACCCAAAAAAAACACATTTTACTGGTTGAGCTGCCATTGAGCTGAATGGAGAATTAGATTGAGAAACGAAATGATGTTTACACAATTGGAAGATTTTGAGCTTTTAATGAAAAAATGCTAAAAAATTAAAATTAAAAATCCCATAAAAGACAAAATTTTGAACCAAAACTCGATATATAAATATTTAGACCCTATCAAAAGCGATATCATTTTTATATCGATCCCATAATGTTCATGTGGTTGTGAAATCACATAATGTTCCTCATCATTTCCTTGTTTCTTGTTCCTCATCCTAGATTGAACATCATGAGTTCTGCTCTTGGACATTTTTCTCATAGTGAGACCTTAATAAATGCTTTGATATGTACCAGAGTTCTGTTCTTTTGTTTTTTGTCTTTTTTAATCATAACCCAATACAGGATATGGATTAATTATACTATTTTCCATATTTAACATAAGATCTATTTAATTAATTTGAATAGATTAAGAAAATTAATTAAATTAATTATTTGTAAAAAATAACATTAGTTTCTCTAAAATGTCTTCTTAAATCATTTGCATTAATTAAAACTATTCTTTAATGCAAACTTCATTAACATGTGCAATTTGAAAAAATTGATAAGTATAGATGACAAAATGAATTCAAATTTTATATTTACAACAAAACTTAACTTCCAATTAGTTTTTATATTGTAGATCAAAGGTGATGATAAATACTACATCTAGTCCTAATTATAACACTTTTTTTATAAACTACAAATGAGATCTTATAATTAGGACCAGAGATTAGAAGGTCTTACTTCACTTAATAATATCTATAGTTTTAATAATACCATTAGGAACATAAACAATTTGGAATTCTCCAAATAGGCAAATATACAGCTTGAATGCTTCTGCATTCTGATTATAGCCATTTCACTTCACCAACAGGAGATCCTATAACATCCCTAGCAGCGGCAGTATTTCTAGAAGTCCTTATTGCCATTTTGTGAAGAACCAAGCTGCTACCTCCTGTCCTTAATATAAAACTTTATTTGACTTTTATTTTAATCTTAAATATAAAACCCCAATCCCCTTTGTCTCTTATATTTATGTATTTTTTTGCAAAATAATCTTTCTAACAATGATAGTTCTAGTTAATATACTTGATTAGTAAAGATATTTAAAAAAAAAAACACCATCTATTTGTTACAAATAACTAAATTTTTTTTAATCTCATTAAATTAGTCAATTAGCTCTAATAATTAATCCAGGAGGTAGTACAATGCAAGAAAAGATGTTACGTGCATTCAATAGAATAGCCACCACCATAAATAAAATACTCCCTCCGTTTATAAGACCTCAAACATCAATTCTTATACAAGACCCATTGCAAACCTTGATAAAACATTTGTAACTCATTTTGAAAAATGTCCATCTCTTTCACTCAGTCTCAGTCACAGATAGAAATTAGCATCTAAAAGTCACAGTTCATTTTGAGATGCAAAGAATTATTACAACACAAATCAACGTTAGAGCTTGCAGAACCATTGCATCATGCCTGGTGAAGAACATAGAAGAGTTTTATTTATTTATTTATTTTGGCGGGGGGAAACCGCAAGAGATGTGATATTATCTTAGTTAAGACGAAGATAAGGCATCATCAAATTTGTGACATAAAACAACTAGAAATTAAGCAAGAACACTTGGAAATACGAAGTGTTCAGGTGAAAAAGGAAAAACAAAGAAATACGAAGGGCAAGTATTCCTACAACATGATATTGTACGTGGCAAAGCCTCCATCATAAAGCTATTTATTAAGGTCCAAACAACTAGGCTTACAATTAATTTAGGAACATATAATATTAAAAAAAAAAAATACAGTACAAGCGTTTATTCGTCATATCTTACATGTGCAAGTTACGAAGAGCTGAACAATTAATTTTCTACCGGCAACGGTCAACCCAGAAGCCAATGAAGTGATAAATTCTGCTTCAAGCATAAGGCCTACTTCGATCTCCATTTAGCATCAAAGCTAACCTCTTTTGGTTGCAGCAAACCTGAATTGAAGCATAATCTAAAGGTGCATCATCCGCCATCATATGACCCAATATAAAAAGCAAAGATCAAAATCCCAGTGATTCAAATGGGGTAAAACCCAAATGCAGTCAGAACATAGCAAGTTCGAAAAAGAAACGCGACCCAAGCTCAGATTTTGTGAGATTTCAAACCAATGAAGATAAAAAAGGATGATAACTATATATATGAGAACTGAAGCTAGATGTACTATGCCTCTAGAGCCTTCTAATTTTAAAAAAGTGACCCCAACCCAACATACTCTACAGGCAAAGCACCAGGCCTCTTCTCCGTCGAAGTTATGAACTCTGGTGGAAGATGAAGCTCCATCGGCTCAAGAAGGATGAGGTAGGAAGGTAGAAAGTTCAATTGTAGAGGAGGGATTTGAGAGGGGCAAGATGGTCTTTTTACTTCTCCCAGGAGGAATGGTCCATTCCATTGAGCAGAGGGAAGGCAGATTCCTACAACTGCAAGGAAGTTCGATGGAAATCTGGGAAACATATACCTAAATTACTCCATTTTTTCCTCTCCCATTCTCCTTTATCTCCGTGCATACCAAACGCAGACTAAGGAAAACCAAATGGCCAAATCATAGTCAAAATGCTTGATATAAAAAAACTTAATTACTAATAAAAGTAAACAGCCCTCACATACATAATACCGTAGTGGTAAAAGAACAAAAAAATATTAGTGTTTGTAATAAGAACACTGATGTCGTACCGATAGAATTAACGGCACGGGAAAAGAAATGGTAAAATTTTTATTCCCCATGCCCCCTAGAAAGTTACGACTAAACACATGCAGAGAACAATAAAGTAAATGGTAATAAAGACATAATTAAACAGATGCTTTTATTTGTAATTTACAAATGATTACCTGCCACCATTGACCATATCACTCCAGATTCTCTTTTCCCTTTCTTAATCATTCGCCATTAGGAAGAGTAATGATCTTTACCTTGCTTGACAACCAAAATCAGCTTGTAGAACAAAGAGCAAATGCCTGGCAAGTGGCACATCCAAATGCAATGGAGAACTAGAAAATTCCCCAGTCATCCAGCATAAATTCCTCTTGACGCTCCCATTATCAAATGGCCATACTAATTTAGCTTCTAGATCAACTACAAAGCTATAGATTTAGCACATAGCCCCAAAAATGTCCAGAAGCAACCCACAATTGACAATATAATTTTGTTGCATGCACCTTCATAAAGGGCTAACAACCCAGCCAGTGATAGGATTTTGCCTACGAACTCTAAACTTCCTGTGCCCACCACTTTGCAACCGATCAAGAACTGCATAAGTAATTGAATCTGGGGTCAATCCTTGCTGCTTAAGTTTTGCATAAAGTTCCACAGCCTCGGCAGTTCTCCCACCCCTTTCAAGACAGTCAAGTAAGATATTATACGTGACAATATTAGGAGAGCATCCTTTAGCAAGCATTTCATCAAACAATCTACCAGCCATCTCAACTTCATCTGTCTTGCCAAAGCATTCAATAAGTGTGCTATAGGTGACAACATCCGGATTTAATCCTTTCTCTTGCATCTCTATAAACCTCATGTGAGCTTCATCAAGATCCCCATTTTTACCAAGGCAATTAATCAAGCAGTTATAAGAGATAACATCAGGTTTACAAGTGCTAGTCTCCAGTTCCTCAAAAATTTTAATAGCATCATCAATTCTTCCAGCCCTTCCAAAGCTAGCAATCAGGATATTGTAGGTAAATATATCAGGCAGAGGTCCATCTTGTTTCATCTTTTCAAAAAGATCATGAATGTGTGATATTTGTTTCAATTTTCCAAGAGCTGTGAATACCGTGTTATACATTATTGTATCAGTACTGATGCCCTTTTCATGAATTTTATTTAGAAGCTCTATAGCCTCCATTGTTTTACCAGAGCAGCATAGACTCTCCAACATGGCCATACAAGCATTCTTGTCACCCTCATTAAAAAAGCTCCACATGTTGCAAAATACCCTGTGAGCCTCACTTAAATGACCCAATTCGCATAGAGTCTTTACAAGATATGCATATATTTTCCTATTCAGATATTTCTTCGATAACTTCAAAACAGTGTCAAGTTTACTTAGTTGTCCTTCAGCAATTAGAACATTCAAAAGCACACTGTATGTGAATTCATTGGGCTGACAATCATTCTCCATCATTTTTGAGAAGAGTTGGATGGCCCTGTCAACCATCCGGCCCTTAGCAAGTGCCTGAATCATAGTGTTATAAGCAATCAAATGAAGAGTGCAACCCTTATTCAACATTTCCTGAAAAAGGGCTATTGACTCATTAGTTTTACCAATTTTGCCGGTCATTCTGATCATAATGGTGTATGTGAACAGCAATACTCATAGCCCAAGCATCTTCAACCTTGTTCAAAGGATGCTTGGAATCTATTACAGTCTTAAGCTTCCCATTCTTCACCAAATCAACCAGATACTGAAGTCTCTCTCCTTTTGGAATCAAAAGAAGAGGCACAATTTGCTTTTTGGAGAAGGTAAGTTTCCTAAGAGCAAATGTCATCCATGTACTAGCACTAGGAGTTACATCTATAACCTTTCCATTAGTGCTCAGGTTAGGTTCAAAAGTAGACCAAGGAATCCCAACTGCACAGTGTATCACTGCATCATATTTCTTACCTGATGGACTCTTCAAGGCGGCACCTTCCGGGGTCTTATAGTCGATGACTTCATCAGCTCCTAAGCTTTTGACTAGTTCAAGGTTTCGAGCTCCACAGGTGGCTGTCACATGAGTGTTTCCTAGCTTTGCCAGTTGAACTGCATAGTGACCTACACCACCTGATGCAGCAGTAACCAATATGTTTTTGTGTTCACCGCCTCCATTATGGAGTCTGATCCCTGCAGATTGGAGTGCCTGGTGAGCGGTGAGAGCGGCAACAGGCAAACCAGCACATTCTGATGCTGAGATTTCAGGTGGCCTCAATGCAGTGATGCTCTCATTAATAGCAGCAAATTCGGCTAGCGCGCCTCCATTCTGCCGTGCAAAATAAAATTCCAAGAGGTCAAGATAAATCTTCAAATTACGAAGGTGATGCTATGGACACGTGCATGCGCACGCACACACACACCTGGGCGCGCGCGTGCACACACGAACGATTGAGTTTACCATACAAACTTCAATTGCAGATTTTCGAAGTTGATCAATACTTTAATCATTAACATGCCACTCATGAAAAGAAAAGACCGTTAGACTTAAAACTTACGCAAAGAATATGTACATTTGTCAGGAGTTTAATGCTTTGGTTAGCTGATTTCTTCTCTTTCTTGTATAGTTTTAACAGAGCCTTCTAATATTTTAAAAACGGGGCAAAAGGCAAAGGAATATGCACATCAAAACTTTATGCTACAATTTATTCACTTTGTCAGGAGAACCAAAGTAGTGAGGACCAAAGTACTGACCACTTACTAAAGGAAGCTTTGATACAAATAGAGGAACCACTTATCCAGAAATCTCAAGTAGTTGGGCACATACCTATGAATGATTTTCATTCATTATTCTAATTCTAACAAGACGATTTTCTGAATAGAACAAAATCAGCTATGCTAAAAGACCATGAGAATGGTAGAGTGAACCAAAGGTATTTAACATAGCCACAAAATGCAGTACGTGATTAGATAGGGGAAACAATAAAGATAAAAAGCAATAAATAACTTACCTCAAATGATAGAAGAGACAGCAGGAATTCATGAGAAAGAAGTTCACTTAAGATTATACAAAACTGTTGTAATCTGTTGTGGAATGCTATAAACTAAAATCATCATAGCAACTGAATATTCTTACAAAGATATTTTGACCAATTTATCAAACAATACAAACATGTATGGCAATCAATAAATATTTTGATAGGAAGGGGAAGATCTAAAACTGCCTCAGTATTTACTTATTAATTATAGAGATATCCTTCCAACTATAAAAGTTTTCCCATGCATTGCACAAAATCTGAAGAGTGAGATGCAGTATTCATAACCTGTGAATAATGCTAATTCATATAAATTTTGATCACACACACACACACACACACACATATTGGTATATTGATTAAATCTTATTAATAGAAGCAGTGGTGCAGATATTAGATGCGCTCAACTTAATGAACAGGATGGACAAAAACAAATATCATGTGCAAGACAACTTACCAAGACATTAACAACAGATACAACTTTGTCTCCGGGCTTGAATCTTTTAACACCTGAACCAACCTCAATGACCTCTCCGGCCACATCAACTCCTGCGTTGGCATGGAGTATTCCCAGTTCAGTGATTTACAAAGATTGGTAGTGCAAAATTCAAATTTGTAAACCATATGGTAAGTTGAATTGACAAGCCGACAAGCCACACCAATACTAGCTGCATATATCTGAAGCTCTCGATGCCAAGTTGGATATGAAACTGTGCAGTTGTATCATGGAAGTGACATGATAACAATTACGTACTCTTGATTCCAGATATTTTACTGATCGTGTGGGGAAGTTATAGAAATGCATCTTGACTACGATATATTTAAGTACATTCAGAAATGAACGTAGATAGGCCATTGATGATATATTAGATGCTATTCAAAATGGCCAAAAATTCAGTTCACTGGCACAAAGTAGTCTTGATATATACAGGACAAAGGAGTTGACAGTGCAGTGGCAAATGTTACTTGCAAGGGAAATATATCACATACAAATTTCATATACTTCCTTTGGGAGATATAGATATACTCATCAGTTCCTACTGAAAGACACCTTCATGAAAATACTACTATAAGAGTTTTGCACATATTTAAGTACAGATAAGTATCTTTTATATGAAGGTTACAGAAATGAAAAGGAAAAGTACCGGGTGTATAAGGGAGCTTTCTCGGTAAAAGTGGCCACAACATGCCTTTTTAAACTTTCCAATCAAATGGATTTATACTAGATGCTTCCACTTTGACCAAAACCTCGTCTTTGTTTGGATTGGGTATAGGAACTTGGTCATGCTGCAATAAGCATAAAGCATAAAACATCAATACCATTGGTAAATGGTAAAATAGACATTTCCCCATAACATGAGTTCAAAAAAAGTGATTTTCCTGAAGCATGCAATACATGAATAGAAATGATATGTCCGCCCATCCTCCACGAAATCATTCAGCCAATGAAACCATGATCTATCATCGCTTCCTCAAACAGCTAATGCTTACAATATAATCTACTCAGTTGTTTTATCTACAGAGATATATGGTTCAAACACAATTAAACAAATCTCAGCAAATGCCATATGAATGATCCGAAACCAGAGAGTTTCCTTTTCTTTTTCTTTTTCTTTTTCTTTTTTCGTTCTTCTTTTCAATATCAAAAGTACAAGGGGCATTAGGGCGGAATACAAAATCTTGGAGCAGTGACCCCAGAGTTGCCTTTTCTTTTTCTTGTTTTCCCAGATGCATTCTGCCGTGTGAAGTTACATTTGAAATTTAGTATGACATCAACTACTGCACTAGATTCGCATGATTTGTTTTAGTTAAACTATTCAATGCAGCTATTCAATACTATACTGATGCTTGAAATTAAGCATCCAGTTTAAAACTAGCCTTATCATTGACAAAGTAAGATCTATTGAGCCATGTATGTCTGACCACCACCCCGGAGATATCCTTCAGAATACAGATACAGCAAATCAATGATCAATTATTAGATTCAAATGATGTATAAAATACATATGATTCTTATTCCAAAGAATCCATGGACTTTCAAAGCACTGAAATCTTCCACTCTAACATAAAAGAAGCTGGTGGAATGACAGTACAACAATGTCGGTCATTTAGTAATATCAAGTTACATCACTGATTTTTTTTTTTTTTAAAAACGCCGACACACACTAAGACTTGTATGTTCAGCCCCAAATCAAAGTTCCGCATTTCCTCCTTTCAAATGAGACAAGAAAAGGAAAAGAAATTCCATTACATAAATTGGAAGAGAAAGAAAACGCAGCAAAGACTACAGAGAAGGCTATGAAGCTGAGAAAACCTTCAAGGCAGAAGGGCCTCCGCCATACCCATGGTACCGAACCGCATGCATAAGCTTTTCCATATCCATTCCACACTTGATAGATTAAAGACTACAGTGGGAATGTCGTATTGTTTCAATAATAACGGGGAAGAACTTCGGCCAAAAATGGGAAGAACGAATCAGGAATGAAGAGAATTTTTTTTTTAAAAAAACATAATAAGAATGAAATTTGCACACATGATTCCGTTTTTGTGGTGTGGTCTCTTGTGGATATCAAAGAGACCAAGTGGCGGTACATGTAAATCTAGCAGAAGGAGCTAGTCCCTCACAATACGGCCAACTAAGATTCGAATCCCCGCTGGAGAAGATGTCCATATTTAGTGTGCCCAACAATACCTCAAATAGGATTGTCTTCAATAGGAGGATACCTATACTTTAGCTAAAAAAAAGTTAGATTAGATAGAAATTAGATTGAATAATGTGATTTATGTTTAGATTGGATTTTATAAAAGTTAATTTATAAAAGTAAAAAAATTGTTTAGATTAGCTTTGTAAATAAATGGGTTCGTAGAAGTAAAATTATTTGAATAATTATTGAAAATGTAAGTTTAGTTGTAAAATAATTAAAAATAGTATGAATTTTATTAAATAACATTCTTTTTAGTTCAAAATATAAGCATCAAATAACTAAATCACGCAGCTCAAAAAATTAAAACATATCACTTCTAACCCTAAATATAAGTGCTGGTTAACTAATTTGAGTATATTGTAATAAATAAGTATTATCTTTTCTAAAATATCTTTGATAATCAAGTTTATTGGTTAGAACTACCGTTAGTAGAAGGACTATCTTGAAAAAAATAAATAAAATGGATTGAGGTTTTATATTTAGGACCAAAATAAAATTTAAACGAGGTTTTATATTAAAAGTCGAAGCTAGTATCTAATGATTTAACTAACATTCCCTATTTTGTAAAAAAGATTAACTAACATATTATATTATGGATTATAAAGACTGCTCTTATGGTCCTATAGTTTAAACAAACTAAGAAAAATTTTAAATTTTATTAACTCTTATTTAAAATTAAATAAGTTTTTAATTTTAATTTTATTTAATATAAGTTACACATCATGAAAACAAAGTCAACAAATAATTAATAAAGTGTAAAATTATACATTCAAAGAAAAGTTTCTCTCTCTACAATATAAAGAAACAATAAAATTTCTTTTTTCTTTGTCTTATAAATAAAATCTAAAAAGTAGGAATTAATTTATTCTCTCTTTGTGATTTAACTTCTCTCCCTATGCCCGTAAATTTTTTAAAGCAAGGCCCACATTTT